GTCAATTCATCAATCTGATTGGGAACTCCATGCATATTATCTGCCCAGAGAGAGCCAAGCTTTTATTTGGTGTGCATTTTTGTTTTTTTCAAGCTCTCTTGCATCAGTCGGACCTAATAAGTTTAATAGCCAGACCTGTTTCGTGCTACAGGTAGTTTTTCCTTCGTATAGGCTCAGTGGGTTTATCTTTACATTTAAAATGTTTGTTTATATATTTAGTTAAATCTTTTTGCAATTTGGTTTTAACTGTCCAAATGACTTATTTACAAGACTTTAATTACACAATAAGAACATGATTGGTGTAAAATGTCTAAAAACGTTTTCCTTTAGATTTCAAACAGTAGGCTCTGATAGTGTCTACGATGAGGCCAAGAGGTCAAAGGTCAAAGAAAAAAAGAAGGATCATTATCATCATCAGAGGCAGGAATGACAGGTCCTCGTATGAGGACGCCGGCTCTCAGGAGGTTAAATCAGATCTATCCCAAAGTTGACAAAACAAACGGCTCCTAAATGGTTGGAGGAGGGGGGTGGAGGTGGGGTGGGGGGGGTGCTGACCTGTCACAGAGGTGGCTCACGGCTCCGAAGGAGTCGCAGGAGCAGGGCAGACAGCCGCTGGTGCCGTTGGTGAAGTAGGCCTCCTGGCACTCCTCGCACTGCAGCCCCGTGTAGCCCACCAGACACAGACACTGACCGGTGGTTTGGTCACACTCGTCCATGTCCGCGATGCCCTCGCTGCCACTGCTGCAGTTACACAAGCCTTCTGGGGGGACGAAAGGGGGGGTTAGGAACAAAAGGATGTTTATCAAAAGGATGTTTATCAAATACTTCATATTTCAGGAAAATGTCATTTCACAGAGGCTGTTTTTATAGTTAAATAAATGTGTTTACCCACAGTCTCAAAGTGAATAACTGACACTATATTAAATTATTGGTTAGACGAAAAGTTCACAAGAGCACACACAGCAATTTAGGGGTTCAAAAAGGAAACAATTCAAAGTCTGAAAACAATTAATGAAACATTCAGCAAGGGTTCTAAATCCAAAGTTACTGATCCTCTAACAGGTAAGTTTCATTTAAGTTTTTAATATGTGGAGTGTTCCCGTGTTCCGATTGAAATACCACTAAATAAACTAAATGGCCGGTAACATAGGCGACACCCGCATAGCGGAGGACCCATCCCACCCAGTCCACTCCCTAATCACACCCCTCCCATCAGGTCAAATGTTCAGCTCCATCAGGACCAGAACCATCAGGACCAGAACCACTGGGCACCTGAACAGTTTTTCCCCCACCAGGCCATCACCCTCTTAAATAAGGACGTCTCCAGCCTCCAGCCTCTCCTACAGACACTGAAAGATACAGTCACCTAAAAACACCTGAACATATCATATGTACCTTTCCCTTGTCATTTGTTCAGATTGTTGTTTAAACTGTCCTGTTGCGCCTGGATACCATGTGTTTTTGGTCGTTAAGGCAATTTCTCATTTCTGCTTCCTGATTCTGAATATTGGCAGTTTCTCTCTGAATGGGAGCTCCTGCTTTCTGTATTTTTGGTAGCAGTCACTGTTTATCTCTGAAGGCTCCGGCTCTTCAAACGTTTGTTTTTTTCTTTTTTAATCAGCTGGAGAATTAAAGGCAGACACTTTCTCTCTGTCTGAGCAGCTGCCACACTCAACAATGTATCGGATTATTCGTTTCACATTCATTTTGAAATATCTAAAACCGCTATCGGACGTTTAAACTGTCTTCAGAACATGCTTAAGAAGCCGAGCACAGGTGTTGGTGTGAAGCAGTGATTTGCAGTTCTCAAGATATCGAGAAATTGAAGGAAAATATTCAGTGGGCTAGAAATTTGAAAAGGGAAAATAGTTATATTTCCCCCACATGAACATGCACACAAAGGGATTGTACAGTTTAAACTGCCACTCTTGATAAAAATAAAAAAAAGGGATGTGTTGATGTGTTGGCAGGCGTGTGGAGGATGTCTTTAGAGTACAGAGAGGT